CTTTGATTAATATATTTGCTCAACTGGGGTTATTAGAGAATTACAACCATGAGATACAAATACTCTATGGGACATTCATTGGGGAATTACTTTTAATTCCAAGAGTTTCTTTGTTCGTGGGAGTCATGATTTTACTACTTTTTTGTGTCAAAAATCGTGGATGAAACAAAAAAGTAGTAACATACTTTTAATTTGTTTTGTATAAGTTGTAATTGGTTTGTAGAATGAAAAATAATCACCGAAAGAAATTAGACGAGAATAGATAAATCATGATAGGAAAATGATGATGATGACGGTGACGTTGACGGTGATGGTGAAGACGACTATTATTCTGGGGCGTTGTTGTTATTTGTCATTTCCTAAACAGTATCATTTCTTTGTTGAACGGTTGCACACCAAAAGACACATGAATATAGAATAGAACATCCTTCTCAGAGAATGATTGACGAGGAATATAATGGGAATCCATACATCATAACGCGAAAGCTGTGTTTACTGCTCTGAGGAATTAGGATTTTTACTTATAAAAACGCATACAWAGATCATTAACTTTATATGTTTATTTGTGATTAAGACAAACAGAATTTTGATTGACCATTTATCAATACCTGCGCGCTTAAAAATCACAACTGTTTACAACTATATGTGGAAGTTTCTTTATACACTGAATTAACCGTATTCGTGATATGCATTATAACACTTGATAGGAATCGATGTAGTGCATCCCGACAGCGGGATATTATCTTGAGACCCTTCTACGGCAGGTGCTGTCAAGGCTACACTGCTCACATGAGCAGCTACTGCGGTAGGTGTTGTTGTGGTGGAAGGTTCCATTGTATTTGTGGCAAGGGTTATGGTACTTGTTGCAGGTTCTCCTGTAGCATCTACTGAGACGTCTCCTTGAACAGCTGCAGTGGGTGGTGTTGTTGTGGTGGTAGGTCCCATTGTACTTGTGGCAAGGGTTATGGTACTTGTTGCAGGTTCTCTTGTAGCATCTACTGAGACGTCTCCTTGAACAGCTGCAGTGGGTGGTGTTGTTGTGGTGGTAGGTTCCATTGTACTTGTTGTCGAGTTTGTTGCTTTAACTCGGACATCTTTGCTGGAAATATTTAAAAAAAAAGGAGAGACGAAGTAACATAAATTATTTTTCACCAAACTACAAAAGTGAAAAACTGTAACTTGCAATTAGATAACGCTGTCTATCCATCTATTTTTCTTACCTCCTGCAGCTACTCTTCTGCTTCTTGTTAGATTTTCGCCATTGATCTCTTTTTGCTGGCAGCCCATTGTCGTTCCTCCTTAGAGCAGCCTCGTCGAATCTTCCTAGTTCCTGTAGAGGGTCGATTGATGACGAGATGCCATGATGTTTGCTTCTTTTGCTGAGTGGCACGTCTTTTGGGTTTTTCAAGACATCCCTTTCATCAAGTAATTCAACTGATTTTAAAGAGGATTTATTTAAGTCAACGCAAACTCTCTTTTTGTAATCGATGAATGAGACAAAAATTGCAATTGCTAAAAATATCATTTTGAATATAAAACTATGATATTGAAACTAAGTCGATCGTCCACTAAATCTTCCCAGCCAACAGACGAAAACCCCTTAAGTATTATTCCTACT